ACCGTACAAGGCAACGTTGGTAGAAGGCAACGTTAGGTACAAGGTGCGTCAAACAACTCGGCAAACTTCGCTTCGCAAACACGGTCCTCGTCGTCGTAGTCCGAGCTGCTGGTGTCTATATGGCTGGTGTTGTCGCTGTCTGCTAGCTTCGCCAGCAGCACTGACGGTGCCACCACTAACATTAAACGTCTTCGTTTCAACGACATTTCACCTAATTTCGGGGAGCACAACACAACGGTGGCGGCGTCGAGACTGACGGCTGTTTTTCGCAGCCCTCTTTTTGCGGAGTAGCTGCGTTCTCGCCGTTCGTTTCCGACACAAAAGCAAAATGGCGGAATGGCTGGAGTCACGTGACCGGTCGGCAGCCAGATCTCTCGCGCGCTCCCACTTGCAAGTCAGAGCGCCTCAAACCATATGGTGAATTCGAGTGGTCGCCTTTCTCCTCTGACCTCGATTCAGCAGAGCGCCCCCTCCTCGCAGCCAGAGCTACTCGGGATCCTTTTCAGCCGATCACAACTGCTGGCTTCGGAGCGCTCCGAGATTCTCACACCAGTCACGGAATTAATATTTCTTGACATTGGTAATGCGTTAAAAACAACGCGATCTTACAGCGTACGGTGGACGATTGAGCAAAATTTACGCTCGCAACCTAATGAAATAACGGTTTTGACGTAAATTGTTTTAGGCATCTGCATAGAAAAAAAAAAAAAAAAGAAGAAAACAGCAGTATGCGAATTGATTTTCGCAGAACGGAATGAAAGCCAACGCTTGGAAAGAGTTGTCAACTCATCGCGTTTTCGTCAGTGAATGCGCTGCGATAGCGGTCATGCGTACGACAGAACAGACAAATATAAAATGGTTAATAAACCGCATTTTTCTCACGGCGAAATATCGTGCAAGCGTCGCCATGTGACACAGATCACAGTGCATTATATTCGGCTGTCCCTTTATTTTACAACACAAACCTTTGAACGCACTTTTACCAAACCTGAAAATTTCTTGAAGCGACCACAAAACCCGGTAAAACAGCGGCGAGCTCTGCGACCCGTTTCTTCGTCGGTTAGGCTTAGCGGATTCACCGCCGTGAGATGAACGATCTCGTGAAAGCACTGGGAATACATCACACGTCGACTTTTCCTGTTACGGTCGCAAAGGAATGTCGTCCCGTCCGTCGTAATCCTCGCACCGTCAAATTCACAAGCACTTTGTAGAACCACATGTCAATCGCCGTCATGCCGTACCCCGCACACCACCACCGACCACTGCCGGCCATCGTCAACAAAACCACGTGATCCCCGTCCAAGTACCACGTGACGCCTGCGCCGCTCCGCACTCCGCCGGCTGCAGACAGAGTGCCAGGGAGCGCTCGGAGAGGGAGAGGCGCCCTCGGAATGAACCACCCGATCAGGCCACAGCACTCTCTTTCAACCACCCGATCTCGCGCTCTGCAAAGAGCGCTCGAGAGCGCGCGGAAAGAACCACGCGAATTCGCCAATAGAGTGTAGGCTAGAGGTTCAACTGGCGCAAGTCCGAAATTGACTTCCGGTAATGCATTTCTATGGGAAAAAGCGAGTGCGTTTTCTCTCTGCGCTCGATTACAAGGGAAAATATCACGAATAATTCGTAAGTACTAGGCCCATTGGAACATTTCTCAGTCACGCAGACAAAATAATTGGTCACTTACGGCGTTTTCTATTTTAAATTCGTGGCCTGAAAAACGGTGCTAAAACCGCTTCGTACGTGTATATATGTGCACTGTCGGACACTGTTAGCGCGAACACGGCGTCGGCGCTTTCTAGCATCGGGGATATACGTGTCAAACGAACGAAAGACATCTGGAAAACCAAGAGACGGCAAGAACTTTGCAGTAATACTAGATAAGTAACTCCTTGTGCATGCAGACGATCAAAATAAATTGAAAGCCACGTAATATAGTCCGATTTCCATTAAATAAGTACTGCTTTATTCTTTCTACTCATGTGCGAAGATGCTTGTTCTGGGTTCAAAGCATCACCCGCACGCTCCAAATCTTTCCGAATAGAGAGAAGCCAGAGAACAGGTGCCCGATAAAAGCTGCCCGACATAGGAAATAATAAAAATACACACCTTTTGTGGCCAACATACTTTATATTTTATGTTCAAATGTTTTTTAACCGATCGTAACGATGCGCACGACCGAGTCATTCTCATATAATGACAGGACGGGCATGTTAGCAATATATAAGCGCAACCGGAATGCTAGCGAAGCTTGAACACACTCTGCATTCCTTTCGATCGTTATTTTGCTTAGAATCGTCGCTTGTTTTTACATACCTGCCGTGGAACAGAGGTTTGGGCCTGAAATATAGCGAAGTTTAACATCGTTCAGCGGTAAAGAAAAATGCTGTAACTAAAGCAATTACACTTTCACAATACCTATAAAGGTACACACTATTCGGTACGAAAGCAATAACAAAACTTGTTCATGTTGTTTTCCGGCGAGGAGACAAAATGCATGTAATGCACAGGAGCACCGCAAAAGTAGACTGGTTGCTGTCTGCTTCAATTTGCCTCCCGGAAGTCGCATAGACACTAGCGCCAGTTGAACCTCTAGCGTACATTATAATAACTCTATGCCTCAAACCGCTCCGATTCGGAGGACGGCGAGAGTCGGAGCTTCGAGAGCGCTCCGAAAGAACCCGGCGAATATGCTTGGAGCGCGTGGCATCAACCAGTAGAATGCACACCGGCTTTTCAGAGCGCTCCAAGAGGCCGAAAAACGACCAGCCGAATATACCATTAGCCTCTGCGGCTTTGGTCTCAGATGTTGCTAACGTTGTTCCTTTCAATGATGATGATGATAATGCGTCCTCGCAGTTTCGGTTTCCGTAACAGTTGCGGCACGGAAAATACCGCGCGGTACCGCCACGCGCTCTGATAAGACTTAAATTTTTATTTGCTACATCTCATCTCGGCGCAGGCATGGCGCAATTCTTCAGTAAAATGACAATTTGGCGCTACATGCAGCAGGATTGCGTCCTTGGCGCGTTTTGGGCGCAGCACTTCCCGTCACTGCTAATGTATATTATGATTACTTTGAGTTTGCTTGACCCAATGGATTTGTCCTATTTCACAACTTGGTAACTCTTCCGATTACTTTGAGGTCACATTCAACCAATTGGTGTTTTAAGAGCTCGATTCACATTTTTATTACTCTTTTGTCCCAATTAATTTTAATTAGGCTTAATTGACATTGCAATGATGCTTGATTATTTTCTGCTAATTCTTAGACGGCCTCAATGACATCCTGGACGACCTCAAGGACAATGTCTGGGATTTCCAAAAACAATTGGCCATGGTCTCCGCCTTGATAGAGTTCCACGCGGTGGCGAGAATGTGAATTGCACTGAGAAGATCAATGGCGTATGGCTTTTCGCTGTTTAGACACAAAAGCATCCTCTCCACGATGTGCCTTTGGTACAAGGTCTTCAAGCTCTGGATGACACCAGTATCCATCGGCTGCAGCACTGACGTCCTGTTCTTTTGCAGGAACACCAAGCAAATCGCACGTAAGGCTTGGACATCGTAGTACACTGTGCAGTTGTCTACAAAGAGCAGAATACTCCAACCTTTCAAAGCAAATTTTCTATCAAATGCATGAAGCCAGTTTGAAAAAAAATTTCATGGTCATCAATGCCTTTTTGTTTGCAAAGCAATCGACGGGAAGGGTCCTCACACCTTTAAAGCAGCGAGGCTTAGTGTAGACCAGTATCGCTCCGTGCCTGTCGCGTTTGTACACACCATCACCGTAAGCCTTTCTTTGCTCCTTTTCCCACCGGCACAGTCGTCGCCTTGAAAAGTGATTGTTTTGTTCAGGAGCAATTTGCAATATACCGCCGTCTCGTCCATGTCAAACATGTCATTGAGCGAGTAGGACGTAAGTCAATCCTCCAGCTCCCCGGATAGCCACTCTTCACATGCGGATCTGTCCACGTCCGCCTTCTCGCCACAAACGGTCATGAAAGTAAGGCCGTGGCATTCCTTAAAACATGACAGCCACCCGTCCGATGATGAAAATTCTTCAATAGCCATCTGGCTTGCGAACTCCATCGCTTTGGCTGCGATATTATTGGCCCACTCAGTGGAAGGTTTCTGCTACGAACCTGCTTTATCCACATGACGAGAGTATCTTCAAGCTGGGGATGTGCTGATGTCCGCAGCCTCTTTCTGGAAGGTTTATGCTCCTTCTCATATCCAGCGAAGATGGCCTCCCTGTTCTTTATGTATGTTGATAGAGTACTCTTTGTGATGCTGTGTTTCTCCACTACTTCCGTCTTGGAAAGGGTGCCTTGGTCAACTTCTTGCTGTGTCTTTACCTTCGTCTTGAGGTCCTTTGGTGGGTGATACGTGCCCCGGCTCACCACGACGCTTGGAATTGGGATAACGTCAGTCGCGCGCCCACCGAAAACCCGCCGAACCGCAGCAACGAGCGAGTGCAAGGCAAAAAACGTAACTGTTGCGCTTTCGCCGAAAACACGCCGAAAAGCAGCGGCGCAGCACCGTCACCGTGCAAGAGAAAGAGAGAACGACAACACTGCCGCTGCCAGCACCGCACTGCTCATTGCAGCACTCAAGGTCACAACATGATCGGATGTCGTGGTTACTTGGAACTGGAGACGGGAGTAGCAGCTGGTGCACGGAATAGCGCGGCCACACTGCAGGGCCCGAGGCGCCACCTTGTGAGTTAGCCCGCTCCTGAGGGCATGCTAGGCAGCGCGGGATGTTCAAGTTAACCGGCGCAAACGCTTATTCGTTCGAATTACCGGGCTGTTTTTCAGATTGAAATACATATAGCGTAAACCGAACCACAGCGCGAGTTCGAATAAACCGGAAGTTCGAATGAAGCGTGTATGAATTAACGAGAACCGACTGTATGTGTGTTCGTATATGTTCGAGCATTCGACTGTGCTCTGACCTAAATGAAACAAACTATTCTATGAGAAGAGACACTGAAATACATATTTGAGCACTTTTCTTTTCCAACCAATAGGTAATAAAATATTTTTATTCTTTTGGTTCGGTTGAGCCAATGTGGGCAAAGATGTGGCACAATTCTCAGAAAATGTGACACTTTGGTGCAAGATGCAGCATACTTTCATTCGTGGCACAATTTGGTGCAAATGGCACAGCACTTCCAACTCAGGGAAAGAGGTAATGTGTCGGGAGGGGGGATCGGGAGGCATTTATTTTCTTTAGATAATAATATTATTATATGATTTTTAATTTACAATATGGGGAGCAAGAATGCAGTTAGTATCTGCACATCTCAGCAGGACACTGTTGGGAGCATGGGAAAGAACACGTGCGGGACTCGCTCGCAGCCTGGACGCACTCCCTAAAAAATAATGCAACTCAGAAAGTTGTATGTACACAAAATGTGAAAAAGTGTTTAACAAAACAAACTAGAAATAGAAAACTCAAATCCCGGTCGCCTCACGCTAGGCAGACTGCATCCCTGTCTGGCCAAACACAAAATACCCGGGGTGGAATGCCAACCGACAAAGCAAATAAAACGCGGATGTCAGCAAAACTTGCCCACTTGTTAACTATATTAACTGAAGTGAATACCAGTACTACACCCTGTTTTACACTAAGTCCGACCTCAGCAGATGCCGCGATCCGACAGCGTTGTTAAGGGGAAACACTGCCTAGGAATCGCGATTTTTTCAAAAAAGTCACATTTTTGGAAAATAGGCTGACCAGCTTTTACAACTCGTAAAGAATGCTGTCCAAAAATTTTATTCCTGCAAGTAAAGTATTTACTCCGAAATAAATTATTTTTGAAGTGCTGGCGGCCGCACGTGTGCGCCGACGACGCGGCCGATTACGAAAATGTGCCATTTTCAAAGCACGCTCCCTCCGCGTTTCTTAGGACTAGCATGGACAGGCCCCCCTCGTTGGAATGAGCGTCTCGCCCTCTTTCGTTCTGTTCGCAGCATTGTTCGCGATATCGTGCTCACAGACCGTAAAACCCCGTAGAAAACATAGCTGTGCACGCTCTTATTGGTCAAGCTGGTGAAAAAGAGCTCTGATTCGCTAGGACGAGCCACGCGACGTGGCTTGTCCTAGCGAATCAGGAAGCTCTGTTGGAAATGGGCATACAGCCAGGGAGCTACCAAGCGTCATACGGAGAGAGGGCTACCAAGATGAAGGTTGCGAAGGCCCAGGTGAAAGCGCTCGAGTCCTCCAAGATGTCCCACAAAAAAAGGAAGATGGAAGCTGTGGCCAAGGCACAGGACCGTGCACAGGAAGGAGTGACATATGCCCCTGGAGCATTTAGATGAAATAGCAAGCCCCATCCAAACTAAAATACTGTTCGAACTTTCAAACCCTTTTTTCTCAGCTTCATGTTTTCACCATTTTTTTCACAGCTCTAAAACTATCGTTCGATGAGTTAAGTGCCCCCAAGTCTAATGTATGGCTTTTTTGGCATAAAATTTACTGGAGAACTCGGCTATGCGCTTACCTTTTGAAAATTGTTATTTCTTCACACAAAAATGTTGACGTTTGTGAAACAAGAAAAAATTAAAAAATTCCTACCATTATTGAAAGTTAATTTTTACGTGAAATATGGCCTTAAAATTATTTCAAGCCTACTACCGATTAGTTTAGTCATTCAGCGTTATATCCCAACAAAGAAATATTGCCTTTTTATTCATATTTTGAAACGATAGTTTTTTTCCTTTGGTACTGCTACATGTACATTTTTTTCAACGAATAAAGCTGTAACTTGTCAAAAAATAAACCTTTTGGGTTGAAAGTTGGTGTAGCCTCCTAAGTTTTGACGTTTAAAATACCCTAAAAATTTCATTGACCTGGCACAAATACTTAAAAAGTAGACCCTCCAAGGGAGTGCCTCCCCTTAAGTGCATTGACGCGATGCTCCTTGTCTTTGTGGGCTTGCTATCACCAACTAGACCAGTCACGCAAAAAAAGAAAGAAAAAAGGAAGGAAGGACTGTGGCGTATTTACTCAGTGCGATTGGTTCGGTACGCGATAGCAAATGCACAAAGACGACGGGCGCCGTCAGGACGCACTTTTGGCACCGCTTGATTGGCTACATCGGAAAGTGGCGCCAGCCGCAGTAGGAAAAGTTAAATGGAGTATGTACTTGGTGTCGATTATCTCGCGCTACTGCGTCGTCGAAGCCAGTGCAGCTTCCACCAATGCTCCAACTCTGTCGAACCTAGTTGTGCCGGCACACGCAAAACGAAGACACCCGCTCGTGGAAGCTACACCGCAGAAGCTACGCTGGCCTCGTCGACGCGGCGTAAAATGGCGGACACGGAGTACAGTACAACCACTAATGGAACGCTGGGGTTTGGGAGGGGAACTTGACGAGACCGTGCCAGTGCAAGGACAAGGCGCGCTACATGTTTGAGACGTCCTTCGTGTCGAAGAAGGCAGCGCAGATTGCGTTCCCGTGCAGGCACAGTTCGTCCAGCTCCTCCGCGCCGTCCCGAACGTCTTCCAAGGGGCTTGGGACAGAACCGTGAACCATGCGCTTGGCCTCCCGTTTGAGGAGCTCCAGCACCGACGGAGGTCGCACCTCTTCAACGGCGACCGAATCCGAGGCGCTGCGGGAGATCCTGTCAAGGATCTGGCCGAGGTGAGCGAGGTCCACACCGCTCGCCTTGCGCACGATGTCAGCCTTCTGATTGGGGTGACCTGCGACGCAAAAAATACGTTGGACCCCGATTCTCCTCGTGGTCTCCAACGAGGTTGGGACGACGTGGTTCAGCTTGGGTTGTCCCGCCTCCGGTGCGAGCTTCCCATCTTCGACGACCCTTTAACATCTTACGCATTTTGTGTGCGTGCACGCCGTTAGGGCACGGTGGAAGGCGTGGCGTGCGTGCCGAAAACCGGGCATACGAAAGACGCACCCTGCCGTTCTCACACTCTACTACGGGAACCCAAAAAAATATAGGGAGACTCGAGACCGAGTTGTGGTGCGAGAAACATCTTGAAATTCTCTTTCGAAATAAGCGTTCAAATCCGTTTCGGTAGAGAATTGATTCATCTTTGAACTCACAAAAGTGCCACGAGATTCTGCTGGGTCGAAACTGCAGCTCAAGTCTGCTTTGCTCAACCGAAGCAATGAGATGGAAGAGAAAGTTGGGAGCACATCCTGCGGCAGCTCGAACTCCATTTTGTAGTGAAACCTTCGTAGCAACGCTTCAGCAAATCTGGATCATAAAATTCAGCCACTTGGGTAAAAAAGTAACCCAAATGATTCGTTAAGTCATGGAGCTCGACGTCCTCTTACAATTACTTTTTTCTCAGACAGAAATATTACGAAAGAGCAGCCTGGTAGATAAACTGAACAAAAGATATAGGCACAATAATTACCAAATAATTTCTTCATTCACGGCGATGCAAGCTAGGAAAAGGGAGAACAGACGTCTGTTTACCATTTTTTCTCTCTCACCGTTTTTAACCCTTTTCCATCCACCTCGGAGAGCATCGTCATGTTCGATATAGACCCAGTTTGACTGAACTTTAAGCATTTTTTCGTTAAGCATTCTTTGTTATCTGGAGACCAAAAATACGCATCAGCAATTTGAATACACTTGCCAGGAACCAGCCTCAGGTGGAATCCGTTGGATGTCAGCAGGGGGTCCACGACGTAGGAAAAGCCGGACTGGTCTCGCCTTTCTTGCTTGAGTCGCCAGAGTACGCTCCACAAAGCCGGATCTGGAAGCATGCTGTGGGAACGACGAGCATAGTTTGTGTTAGCTAGCAGTAAGCCATAGATTTTCTGGTGCTCACTTAAAAAGAAAATCGGCAAACACTTTTCAGCATTCGTTTATTCTAAAAAAAATTCGGGGTACTCCTGCAAACTGAATTGTAAGGACGCAGAAAACTGTAATTTAGAAAAAAGAAAAAAGTGCAAACGACCACACAAGGCGTGTTGCAATTGACGGTGGCAACCGTCGCATCGTCACAAAATATGCTTTTGGGAGATTTTCTTTTGGTCGATGCGCTTTTGCATTTTGGATACCAATGGATGTTTATTGGTGTTATTTGCTTAAAACTAAAAAGTCTACTGCCTAGCTATCTGCAACGAAATCCCTCGGAGGTTTCTACTTCCAGGTCTGCTTGTAACGTTCCTCGTTACAGTCTGTGGCAACACAAGAAGGTAAAGAGAACTCTTCTTTCACAAACCTCTCTAGTTTGCTATGTATTGAGCACTGTGGCAAAACAATATCGGACGTGGGCTGAAATTGTGATTGGCAACTATTTCACGTCGGAAGCGACTGACAACCTACGATTCCTTTGCAAATTTCAAACTTTGCTGCTGTTTGCAAGCCAACATCCACCAACAGACAAAGGAGCATATGGGACAAGCGTATCAGGGGCTGTAAGATCTCTCACCATTAGTATGTTGGTGAGACGTTCTTACAAAACAAATACCCAATCATAGACTCACTAATGGGACAGAGTTTTCTCGTTTGCCAATAAGCCCGCCCAGCAGAAAGCTGCGATGCCACGACCGAAAAAGATGTTGCTCTCACCAGTACCAGAATCGAACCCCAGAGCCGGCTTCCTGGTAAATGTGGGTTATCTTTCTCAGTGGTAAAATTAGCCACAGGAGGAATTTTTAGGTCACGTGATCGTCTCCGTGAGGAAGTACTACTTAGCGCTTTAGCCGACTGCGCTTGGCAGACGTAAGCTTTGCACTCATTTTCTTCCATTCTCCCTTAGCACGACCTTTCCCAGAAATAACTTTACATGCCACTCCAGAAGTATGGAAATGTGATTCGTTTCACTCCCATTTCGAGTCTGTTTACTCGAATAATCGTAGTGAGGACGGACCGACGGCAGCCATTTGCCTGGAACACCAGGTACGTTTGGTTTCTTGTCCTCACAAAGTCGGTCAGTGACCTCCAAATCCCTCTTGCAGCTATTTAGACCGCCAGGGGAGATAGCCGCATTCACCAGCAAACCAGCCAGGAGGGTTGGCGGCACTGACCGCCAGATTGAGCGCACCTTGCCGTGACGACGAGTGGCGGTCGAAGCTCTTCCGCCGGAACAATGTATGTTTGCTTCAACTTGCGGAAAAGGGCCGCCTCTCGAAGGCAGGTGATGTTGAGGGTGGCGAGCTTGCCCTTGTGGCAGACCAACCAGACTTCTTTCGGTGCGTCGGGAAGGCGTCCGATGATGAGCGTTGTCTCTCGGCTCAGCGGCTGTTGGCTGCGAGAAACGGACGTGCGGTTGCAGGCCTGCTTGCACTCTCGAGTGCCTCCGGAATGCTAGCATTTGTGCGTTTCAGTAAGAAAACAGGTTTTAGCGGTGTTGTTTCCTCGAGACGTTGTCAACATCTCACGAAAATCCAGCCCATCTTATCCTCCCCAAAACAATGCGGGAGAATCAATGTTTGGACTCGTAAATGGTGTTCTCTGCGCTGGGTCAATGCGCAGACAGTGCCGTTTTGTTGCGTGTGGTAGGACATGAACCTGCTTAGCGCCCGAGTTATACCCTTTATTGTGGAGTGACTATCATACGGTCAAACGCCCTTACAACGAAGTCCGCGGAACCTGCAAAATCTTTCTTGGTACAAGTAAATACGGTAGCACCAAATATAGTATGATTGACTTCAGATATGAGGTTTATTATGTTGACAATTGACTTATCAAAAGGGGGAACGGTGGCCGAGACTGCTGGCGCACCATACGTCGGAGCATGTGAGGCGAAAGCTCGCGCTACAGAATCCAAGTATCTTACTCTCTATAACCACTTCCTTTTTTTTTCTATATGAAAAGTGTATTGGCATGCATTTTTGTACCCACCACTAACATTCTTAGGTCTATCAGTTGACAAGCTCCACCGAGCAGCGGCGTCCAAGACGGTTCTTCTCTGCTGTTTGAAAGTGAGCAGGCACGGATGGTTAGCTTTCCCAGCACCACCAGCGACAGGGCCTCCACGGGCAACGGAGAAGAATTGTTCTCGAACGACGCTCTTCTAGATTAAGTATTATTATGAGTCAAAGAGGATAGTTGCATGCTTTTCTAGAAGGCGTGTAATTTTGAACTTTCCATATGGTACATACATTAGATTCCACCAATATTATTTCTGTTGAGGTCATCCAATGATCTAGAAATTTCATGGATACTGCGATTAATTTCAATGATCACATAACTGCAATTACAAATGCCTCCCAGAGTTCATGGAGCCATTACATGAATAACACACAGTTTTTCTAAACTGTTTTTTTTTTTACATTTTTTTTCTTCAATGGTGTGTAGTCGTGTCGAGTATGCCTCAATTGTATAGAAATGTATTGGAGTGACTAATTCCAATGTAATTGAGCATGTTCGATGTAAAACTTTTTTTGTGTATTGTTCGATCATTATTTTCATCCGAATTATTTCTATATTTACGAAAGGATTTGTGACCTCGTGGAACTGGACATGTTGCACAACAGGACGATCAGTGGATTGATGCGTCTGTATAAGATCGTAAATGGTATAATTGACCTACCTGCGCTACTAAGTAACGTCTACTTGCACGTTCCTCGTAAGTCTAGTAGACGTTATTCTTTTGTTTTATCCTTCTGATTTATATCATGCAGCACCCATGACACACCTTCAATTGACAAGCAAATAGTACCATTTAGAACAGATTTCTGGGAATGTTAGCTTAGACATTTTTGATGAAGAGCATAAATTTAGAAAGTGTATGCAGAGTGCAAGTTTGTGTGCTTCTGGCACAGGGGTTGCAATGATGTCAGAACGCCGAGCTCTTATTGGCTGATTGAAGGAAATAGTGGGCGGTCCTCAAAGGCATCTAGAATTGAGGTCTACCCACTATCCTTCCAGCCAAAGCCAATCGGAACTTGGTGACATTCTGATGTCACAGCAACCCCTGCGCAAGAAGCAGATGGCTTGCTCTCTACATTGCTCCCATTGTTTTGTCCGAACTTACACTTTTCTTTCATCGTGTTTGAATAATTTGAACACTATCTGACATTGATAAGTGCACCACTAAGGAGGCATCAAGCTGTCTGTAAGTCACTCAAAATAAAATAAATAAATAAAACCACAATAGGATTACTTTCCATCCCAGGCAATGTGCATCCAATGAGATCCACCAGTGCCAGCCATGGGGCAGGCTGATGGGGTAGTGAATGCCACTGAGTGGACGTGCCATGAAATGATGCCAGGTATTCTAGGAAGCTTGTCAACTGACTTTGGTCTAACAACGTTGCTCACCACTGCATTACGTAATTTAAAGACACGGGGCTAGTGGTCGTACCGCCAGCCTTGCCAATGGCAACATTCGTCATCTACAGCAGGGAGACCAGGCGCTTCTTGCTGCAGACTAAATTCTCGTTGTCCAAACTTACACACAACACACTTAAAGGGAAGCTGAAGCGGTCTTGAATATGATTAAAAAAAAACACTCGATTAGTTTTAACCCGACTCCAAGCATCCCGGATATCACAAAAAGTAGGCTATTTTATGCCTGCATCGCCTAGAAAGACGCCTTCGAAGTTGCATTAAATCCACGCCCCTCCGCGGCAGAGGGCCGTAAAAGGAGAAAACATGACAACACGGAAGGTTCCCCGCGCGCGTGCTCCTCGAATCAGAGCCAGCGTCTGCAATTCATGCTTCTGAAAGATGCCAGTGGAATGTAGGAAGACACACGAAGAGAGAGGGAGAAAAGAGGACAAACACACTGCTGGACTAGCAACCATTTACTCAAGGTCTTCTTCTTCCACGCCCATCATTGTAAAATCTTGAGAGATGCCCCACCCCAAAAGGTAACCCACACATATTTTCGGTTCGATTTAATATTTTCTTTTAAACACCGATAGATAGCCCAGTCCTAGTAATTGTAGTGTTGGAGTCAATGATGACCTTAGCGTAAATGCGTCTCGTGTGTGGAATATAAGCAAACATTGCTGACAGGGAAGTACAGTCATCTTTGCGTTGTTGCCCCTCGCCGCAACAAGTATGGTAAAAACGCATCTAAAAATTTTTTTCTTAAACTTTCTTTGATTGCATTTTGAAAATTAGCCGACTCCTTGTTTTCACCAAAGGGCATTTTCAGATAAGATTGAACAACCATGTCCAGTGACCATCTTTAAATTTGATAAAAAAATACATATATATTGCGCTGGCTCCATGCCCAGAATAGAACCAATACTTGTAATTGTAAAACAAAATTCGTCTTTGTGAAAAAAAATTGTAAGCACCCTCTGTCACATGCATGTTTTTCGCATCGTGCAATCTTGGCATTTTGGGCAGCTTCCTTAAGAAAATTGTTCTGGCTACGGGTCTAGAAATATTTACAGGCAAATCAGGCATATAGGAAGTATTGACAAAAAGTATTAACCACCGAGTATGAGGGTCGTTATTTTGAGAAACAAAATCGCAAATACAGCACATTGTGCAATATTGCTCTGCGTTAAAGATTTTGTTTCTCCGTATCTATAAAAGCTAAGGCTTTCAATTTTGCCAGGGTGTTGCTCTGCATATAGTGCATCTGTGCATGAAATATTGTTGTCCTTGTTAGCGGGAGAAATTTACAAGAATTGCTCACACAGGTGCATTTAGCTAAATATGCATTATCTTTAAAATCATAAAAAAAAGGCCATCTTTATTATTCTTTAAACTTCCCGAAATTAACGTTAATAATATGTACTAAGAGAATCTGCAAAAACATAATGCAATATTTGTGGCCTTATACAGTTGAACCTCGATTTAACGAAACCCGATTTTACGAATTTCCCGATTTAATGAACAAATTCGGATTCCCCGTGCAGCCTATGCGCGAGGTCTCCCTTCCTCGATTTTACGAAGTTCCCGATTTAACGAAATATATAGCAGGTCCCGGTGACTTCGTTAAATCGAGGTTCAACTGTAGTGATAAAGCGAGAAATATGGCCAAATTGATGCTAGTGCGGTTGCCATAAATGTGGTGTGCGCATACCCTTTCTTTACAATTTCATTATTAATAAGTGTAAAAATGCTATGGGGTGGTCAGGAAAATACAAACTGACAGCACAGATATGGCCTGTAGTTTTGAAGCGAAAATTCCTAACACATTTTCTTACAACCGACCAAAAAATGCCCATGGGCCGGAGCGATTAACATGCTTCGCGGTGCCTGTTTCAACAGCCGGTGTGTAAATTCGAGCCTGGTTACATCACACCCGGGTATTTCGAATTATTGTATATTTCAAACAGTGCAAATATCCCCTTGAAGATCACATGTAATAGTATACACAAACTCAACTCTCCTACGTCACGCCGTGGTGGTAGCGCGTCGGATGCACTTCCGGTCTGGGGCGGTGGGCAGAAGTTGCCGTGCGAGACATGCATTCTTGTGTTCTTTTCGGAGAAACCAAACAAAAAACCTGCGTTCTCGTCAAAATGCTGCGACGGGGGCTGTAACGAGAGAGTCTGGAAAGGTTTGAAGATCAGTAAACATGTGTTTCCGCCCGCTCCGTTCGTCCGAGTACGTGGATAGTAGCCGTGAAAAGGGTAAACCAGACGCTGTCGAACTATGATTGCTTGTGCGGGCAACGCTTTGTGGTCGCCAGATGTATTTGTTTTGTTCCAACATGAACGAGAAAAAACCGCCAAGTTGTCCGGGCCACCCCCGGGTTCAGTGCGTCTTTAAATTTACACGGCCGCCCGATTGTATGAACTTTCGTCTGCTCTTTTCGAACTTGTCTACTTTTTGTCGTCTGCTCGCTCAAACAAAAGCGGCCGATAGACCAAACTTTGACCCGGTTATTGCAGTAAGAAGTAATTGCAGGCCTCAAACGACTTAAGTAGGCTCGGTGTAAACAGTACATACAAGATGTTGATCATTGGTACCAGTGGCCATCACCGACTTGTTATGCTTGGTCTGTTTCCGCTTCCGAATTTCAGTATCGACGTCGATCATCGCTGCTACCTCCTACACTTTTGCAGCACGAGTGACGTCGCAACCGAAAATATCTAGAAGAATCTCATCGTGGTTTTGGCGTCCATTCTGTGGCGTTCACGCGAATGAATCGCCACACGTCAAATTATTTACACAAACTTTAGCAGTGTAACGAGCCTTGATAGTTTCGCACAGGCGATTAAAGTGGTAAGACATTTCTATGAGGATGTAGAATCAACAATTCCAACGCGAAAAAGAGTATGCAGACTTACACAGACGCCGACAACGTGACGTTCCAATAGTTTGTGGACGCGGGACGCGGTGCTTCTTGCCTGCACTCCATTTCGCATGCGTTCGAACTGTCGTCTACTTTTTCAAACTTGTCTGCTTTTTGTCGTCAGCGCGTTCAAACGACAGCGGCTCGTATACCCAACGTTGACCCGGTAATTGCGATAAGAACTAAGTGCAGGCCTCAAAACACTTTTGAAGGTTGGTTGGGGTAAGTAGGCTAAGTGTAAACAGTAGATACAAGACGTTGATCATTGTTACCAGTGGCCATCACCGATTTGTAATGCCCGATTCCGCTTGCGATTTTCAGTATCGACGTCCACCATCTCAGCTAACCATCTCAGCTAGGGTCCACGCTTTCGCAGCCCAAGGGACGTCGCGACTGAAAATAGTGAGCAGAATCTCATCGTAGGAGTCAGGCTTTAGCGCCCATTCTGCGGCGTCCACGTGAAGTAAATCGCCGCAAGTCACATGATTCACGCAAAGTTTTGCCTCAATAGTTTTGCTAAAGCCGCTCAAGTAGCCAGACATTGTTAGGAGGACGTAGAATCAACAATCCCAACGCGAAAAAGAGCACGGGGACTCCCACCGACGCCGACAACAACGCAATGCAATGGTTTGTTTATGGGCGATGGCGGGCTTCTTGCCCACTGCGCATGCGCGGCGCCGGTGGCATCCGCTAGGGGCGCTCCGGTTTGTTTGTAAACATGAGTTGGTATATAGGAGCGTTCTTTTTCTGTACCGAACTCCCATGACACGGCTAGCCAACTTATACCGAGCATTGAGCTCTTCTTGAGCTACATACTGTTTGCATAGAACGAACGCAAACGAACGAACACAGCACATTGAATCTCCTTCTCCTCTTCTTCTTCCCGCGCACGCACAATTAGCAGACTACGAGACCCTGGAGGCCATTTTTTGCTTTTGTAGTTTTGTTTTCTCCCCTGCCGCGATACCATGAAAATGACCTTGAGAGTATTGCGGACCGCCACGCCCGGGAAGTAACTTTTTAGAGCACACCTCTAAGGCGCCAGTTTCTGGCTTAAGCAGTGTCGCCGTCGGTGTAACCGTGCGGTGCATTATGGGCAAATTTCCCCCCGCTAAATCTAGCTGAAAAATTTCCCCGCTAAATCTAATGAAAAAATTTTCCTGCTAAACCTAGCGGAAAAATTTCCCCGTTAAATCTAGCGGTAAAATTTCTGTGGGGGCTCATGTGACACCCCCCGGTCACGTGACCCCCCCACGTGACCTTGGGGGGGGGGGGGGGGGGGGGGCGAGAAAATGTGACCATCAGTACCCTTTCCTCCTCCTCCTCAAGAGCTGCGCTCTAATTCGGAGTTACAGAAAGTTGTAAACAGCTTTCACTTTTTTTATCTTCTCTTTCTTTTTTTTTTGCGCACAAGAACTTTTTTTCCTTTTTTTCTTCTTTCGAAAGCGGACTTTGTGTTCGTTGTAACAGTATGATGCCTTGAAAAACTGTTGTCTTATCTGAACTAATTTAATGGGTAGGGCCTTGAATTCATATATTTTTTTAAAGTTAGTCGTTATAACCGATAGGTCTTTATATGCGGGATCGTTATAAGTGGGTTTGACTATATCACTTACCTATATCTTTGCGACCGTACAATCCAAGCAACCTACATTGGTATCGTTATGTACAGGAAAGGAGCCATTGCTCGATCATGCCTCTGTCACGTTCAGAGATGGCGCCATCGTCGTGCCACGCATGACGCAATCAATGCTATATGTATTCTCGTGCGCAGCATTCGCAGAGGTGTGGCTCGGCAGTACGTTTGCGCATCCGAGCGAAACAGGTCGCCGCTGAGAGAACTCACCCTGCCATTGTGGGTATAATTCATCAAACTCAAACCGGTGCTCATAGGGAGTTACGAGGCTTACGCTTCTGTAGTTTGTCGCAGAAATTTGACGGCTGTTCGGCTACGGGCATGTCGACCATGCAAGCTTTGTAATGCACGAATAAAGTAAGCTGTGTATTTGGTTACTCCACGCCTGTACCCTAGTGCCCATACACCCTCCACAGCACGCGCGAGACGTTTCACGTACTCCACAGCAGCTGCATCCTTGATACAGCCTACCTGATGTTTGCAATCCCCAACGTCTGCTGTGGCTAGCAGTTTGCTCCCGAAAAGAGCTTCTTTTCCTCTCAACCGCACTATTTGTAAGAGTTTTTGAGTCTTCGCAGAAACATCCGGTCTATATACGCGGGTGGGAAAAGCTCCAGGACTAACCGAGAAATGGGGCCGGTGCACAAGCGTGCCGACTTGCCACAAGCAGTTACGAAGGAACGCTATGCACTCGATCACTCCAAAACAGAAAGGTGTGAACCAGTCTTGAGTCGTACGCAGTACTGCACGGTCATTGCGTTAGACACGAACGCACTTGGAAAGCACTCCGCAGTGCCCATACCTGAGCTCGCAGTAGTCGCCAAGTTTCTCCCGGACCGACTTCATGCAGAACGGCAACTGGACAACGGCGCGGGTCGAAGTGGCCTCCTTGCGGCGGACGTCGGACCTCGGGCTTGGAACCACTGGCTGGGCCGGCCGAAGCTGGGTGCTCGTCGAACTTGTAGAAAAAAACAAAAAAACTTGGATATCTCGCTAAAAATTTATATACACATACAAGCTTTAAAATGGGCCATTTAGCTGCGTCACATAAGGTCATGTGTGGGATGTCACCAGACAAAGGAATATTCAAGTTGCTGTGAGGTCCTGGACATTACGACGTGACTGCAGTCAGACCAACACAAACAAGAAAGATCCGCAGAGGGTCCCCCATGAGATGCCATCACTTAAAAACGAATAGATGCAGAGACAAACGAGTGCCTCACAGATGTTAGACAACGAACGAAGAGTATGAGTGCCCGGGTAGACCGACTTTGAAAGGCAGACGGGCTTACCGTCGACTGTTCGGGGTTTCCACCACCTCACCTGTGGTTCCCTCGCGACCGCTTGGCTTTGTCCTCGTACTCCAGCCTCTGGTCGGGAGTCAGTGAGCTCCAGTCGTCTCGAAGGAGGTCGTCCAGCTCGTCTAGCGTCGTGTTTGGTGCCTGCGACAGGACTGTGCCGGGGACGAGGCGTGTCAAAACGTGGGCTTGCACGCACGTTTCGACCTGGGCCACCCTCTTGTGTTACGGTCGCAAGGGAAAAAACAAGTCGCTGGATCCCGGGAAAATAGCGACGCTGCCTCCCTGCCTGCTAGCAGGACACAAACACAAACTAATGTACAGACGACCAAAACCTCGCAAGGCGATCGGCTGATCAGTCTCTGTTGCCGTGGCTATCGCCCTTTTCGTTCTTTTAAATCTAAAGCTTCAAAAGAGTGGTTCTGAACTGGCCGCGCCAAGATCGCTATGGAGCGCCGCCGTGCCGAAAGCATTCCTCGCCAATATAAACACTGTTGATACTCTGTATGGAATCAACTTCTTGATAGTGCTCATCATTGCAGGCAGGGATGGGCAAAATACATGCCAATATGTATCGAAATACAAATACAAAATACTTCGTCAAAAATGTATATAGTTACAAATCTAATTACATTTTCAAAAAAGCATTTAAGTACAAGATACAAATACAACCAAATGTATTTGGTTTCCTCCAAATACTTTTCCAAATACATTCCTAAAAATTTGCGTCAGCGACTTCAGGGCACCTGCAACGGGTTTCTGGGTATCTCATTTTAATTTTGCATCGCACACTCGGGAGTTAGTGTAACGTAACAGAATTATAATCACAAAAAAAAAAAAAATGTAATCAGCTTGGATGTAATAGGTGGCAAAAGTACAGAGCTTCAGGCAGCTTTTTCTTGTCGATTACTTTTTGGTATAGAGCAACAAAAAACCGAGACGACCAAGACGCGCAGCGCTACCTAGAGAATGTTTTATAGTTGCAACTCGGATGTGGATGGAAATCAGGCCGGTAAGCATCACAAGTTGTCACAAGCACTTATTTAGCCAGTCTGCCTGTGAACGTCGATTTCGTCCCTATTCTTGCCCTGGACTAGCACCGTAATCACAAAGTCACTAAACGCTTGTGCTTGATTGAGAGGCACTGCATTCCGTGCAGAACGTAGTTTTCTTCCTGCTCTGGACAGTGTCAATAAATTTGAGAAATGTATTTTCGCCCTCAAAATTGTATTTAATTACAATTGTATTTGAAACACCCACATTTTAGTATTTAAATGCACACGTCAAATACATTATCCAATTTGTAATTAAATACAAATGCAAAATACACAAAGTATTTGAAATACATATTTCAAATACTTGTATTTGAAATACTGCCCATCTCTGATTGCAGGTCTGTCTTACCACAATACTATTTCTCTCACATCTATCTTACCACAATTTGTTTTTCTCGACGCCACCAAGCACCGACGCCACACGTGGTGGCAGTGCGAAGACATGAGCCTGTTTCGCCCGTGTGCAAATAACAAAGTCTCGGTATACGAGAAATGTCTTCATGAAGCAACTTGACACCCTGAATTTGGATTGGCTCAGCAAAAATGGAGAGGACGAGGAGAAATTGTCCCTTCCATAGACAGAAATGGCGACTGCACGGGGAGCTTGGTGCCACTTTCCCAGGATCCAGTGACCCCCCCCCCCCCCGAATTTTTTATTTTTTGCCAGGCGATTTATTATGGTGTCAGAAGACTACCCAATCAATATTTTGGTGCAGTGTAACATAGGTTTTTAAAGGGCAACTCCGCTCAATTCGGAAAAATTTAGGCTTCCTTGTGATTCACATTCACAAAGCACTACTAAACAACTCTACGTCTTCGGATTCGCGAAATGTGGAATATTATTTGTGTAATCCTAATTTAAACGTCAGCAGATACCGAAACCGAAACTTCGGTTGCGTCAGGCAACATCGGTCTCGGGTCGTCAAAGGCATGCGCGTCACGTCGAACCACGTGGTCTTGTGACGTTCGGGAGGGAGCGAGAAACAGGACACGCAAAGCGGGCAGGTTTTTTTTTGTTTTTTTTTTTTTATTGGACGCGGGAAGGTTGCATTGCGTGGCGTGGACGGTGATGGCCTGGGTGAGAGGGGGAAGGGAAAAGACGAAAGAGAAGTGGAGCGGAGAAACAGACCGATAAGCGCGCAGGGCAGCGCAAAGTAGCGCATCCGTGTTACGGTGATCACGTGAACGCCCGGTCAGCCAACACCGGGAGGAGAAACTCATGACGTCATCGTTGCATTTCGCTCTGAGAAATAAAAACAAGCAAAACGTGAGAATGACGTACATGCCTCTGACGTAGTGGCTCAACGTTGGCCGCTCCAACTCCGTGGCATTGACTGCGCTGATGATTGCGCCTCGCGCCGCACGCTAGAGTTGGCAGATTTCGGCGACTTGGCTCGCTTGAAGGTTTGCCGGCCAGTTTATTAAATAAATAAACGGAATTAGATCGTAATATTTGACGTGGGGTCTTCCTATATGATACTGAAGAGGGCTACATAGTTTTCTAAATATCAAAAATGAAGCGGAGTTGCCCTTTAATGAGTAAAAAAAAAAAACGAAATTGCTCGAAACCAAAATTTAAACTGGTCTAGGGAGGAAGAAGAAATATAGAAAAGAGAATTGCCAAAAGTCACGTAACTGTGCAACTTTTTTTTTTTTTTTTTTTCATTCAATCAACATATTTGCAGTTTTTTAAAAGCCAGAAAAAATGCGTATAATATTCTTTTTTATTTTTAATATTAAGTGTGTGCCTTTGATGACCCACAACTCCGATTATATTTGGAGTGTGTGCTCCACTTATATAGTTCACAAAGGGCGATCCGTGGACCCTTTGGGGCCCACGAAGGCATTCTAGGGGTCTGCGAAGCCTTGCCTCATCAGTCAAGCTTCGCAATAAAAGTTGTCTTTTTTCAGATTGACAAGAAACATTCCAAATTTCGAGTGACTTTTCTCGTATGTAAATAAAGATAAATCTACTTCACACAGACCTTAGTTATATCCATTTATGAAATGATTAACATTATAAATATATACTTTTCCCTTCCCCACAACACGAATGGGATCCTCCATCATTTCCGCCGACCCACAAAGAGTCTGTGAAACATCAATGGTTGAGAACCACTGGCCTAAATCATAGAAAACCGCGCATGACCGCGGAGAAGAGAGGGAGCATGGCTCAAACCGGCCAGTTCTCAATCGGCGGTTTTCGGGTGGAAGGGACACAAATTTCGAGCCGCCATTTGTGTTCTTGGCCAGTTGGTCTCTCGTACGTCATGTACCAATAAAAACCTTGGCGAGCATAAATACTCTGTCAGTGTCCCTTTAAGGCTGGTTCACACACCTGCGACTGCTTATGACCAAGTGCGTTACTGCCTCTTGTGACACTTTACAACGACAGAACACACCGGCATCCTGCCTTCCACTGGAGCAGAGGTTTTGCAGTATTTGTATGTTTGCAGTGTTGCAGAGGAGAGGCTTTGCAGTACCATCTAGGACAAGTGGTCGTTATAACATTGCCAAGTTTTTCAAACCACTAAAAAAAATGACGCACAAAAAAAAAACAAAGTTAGTCGGGAAATTGATTGAGTTTCCACGGCTACACCACAGAGGGTGCCGGTGGCCTCTCTCGTCGTAAGGTATTGGAAGAGGTTGTGACATACTTGGTTGTAAGCAGTAGCAAGTGCGCGAACGAACAAAAACTATTGATAGAGTCGCAGAACTATCGATAATCAACTATCCATAGTATTATCGATAGTTTTTTGATAGTCGACTATCGATAGTGCTACTGATAGTTTTCTTACTATCGATAGTCAGATTTCTGGCGACTATCGATAGTACTATCGATAGTTTTGCACTACTAGAGCGAACACAGTTGAGCATCGCCGCTCGCCTCCCTTCCTCCCCTCTTCGCCCAAACTCCCGTCTTCGTCATCACTGAAAGTTGAACCAAAGTTGGGATAGTAAGTGCTTGGGCTAGTTGATGTCCCATTTGAAAAAACAAAGTGCCCAACTATCAATAGTAAACCGTCGGCAGTACTATCGATAGGTTTACGACAGTCGACTATCGATAGTTTTCCCGATAGACAATTAACATTAATTTTCCGATATAGTCAACTATCGATAGTACTATCCATAGCTTTTCGATAGTCGACTATGGATAGTACTATCGATAGTCAGATTTCTAGCGACTCTTGACGCAATTGATAGTACTATTGATAGTTTTGCACAACTAGGGTTAACGCACACCAGCTCGGAGCACATGGAGCGAAAGTTTGCGTTGCAGAACCCAGGGATCCTGGGTTATATCCCCACTCTTGCCCGTTTCGATCTGGAAGAGATTCGTACTGGCGTGCGGCCGTGTATCGCTACTGCGTGATGCACAATAAAGACCCCAGGCTAGCGGCTGTATTGCATTGGCTAAATTTCTTATCTACAGTGGGTAAAAATGTCGCCATGCCTCTGGCAGACTAACCTCCAGCTGTATAAGCAAGGGACGACTAATTACATTTTACTTTCCTGGGCATGCAGCCCATGAGAGCCATGCGAAAGGACTTGTTTTCGCATTTGAGTGTACGTCCCTTGATAGACCGGTCGCCAAAGTGCTTGGCTCACAATTTCAAAATGTTAAATTCAAGTCCTGCTGGGGATTCTAGTCTTTTATATGGTTCCCCATAGGCACAACGCTTTTTGGTATCGGTCTTTAGCTAGAGCCAAATGAGAATCGGCTGATGGAACACACTCTGTGTTAGTATTATTCGGGAGACTGTTGCAGAAAAGAGGTTTCATCAGTTAATTGAGCTTACAGAACTGAATATGCCTGTGTATGTCACAGAAAAACACTGAAAGCGCAATGACCTACGTGTCAGCACACTCTAGGGGTGGCTCACTCAGAGTGGGGTTGAGGTTCCGACAACACTTTCGGCCACCAAACTCAAACCGTTGCAGGCTCAATTGGCAGCTCTCTGCCCCCTTGTCGATGCAAGCGCCACGTGTGATTGCGTACCAAGCTCTCTCGTAGCGTTACGAAAAAGTTTCATGACTGGTAAAACTAAGACAACGTTTGTCGGGCCATCCATGCAAATCGAATTCAGCTTCTTGGCGAATGCCTAAGAGTGTTAGTTATGTTGAATGTCCTCTCAAAGTCGCAAAGAAAAAATAGAGAGTAGGATGACAAAAAGAAAAGTTAGAGCATAGGTGCGAAAAACTTAAAGCAGTGCCCAAGATTGTGGCCCGTAAAGGCCCGTTCACACTCTTGCAACCGAGTACGACCGAGAGAGACCAGGCCGATTTTTAAGCCTCTTGCGACGTCTTAGGACAGGATACGCTGCAGCGGAGCTGGTCCTAATAAGTCGCAAGAGGCTTAAGAACTGGTGTGGTCTCTCTCGGTCTTACTCGATCGCAAGAGTGTGAACGGGCCTTAAACCCAGATGCTTGCACCATCTCCAAATTTGTACGACCCAAAGGTAAAAAATAGAAGAAAAAAAACAACCTTTTGCACAAATCTAGAAGGGTGATAGAGTGCCCCGCTTTGCTATACTAAAATGACAACACTGTCACGAGAAGTTGCATTGTCACATGATGTCATGGTGTCACATAGCGACTGTTGGGCTGATAACGTTGCATGAACGCCGTGATATCATTACTGAGGCTGTGTGCCACGAACCCGAAATCGCCAAGAGCTGTCTAAACCGCCTCAACTGCATAAATGCATTTAGAACATTCCATACCTTCCTTCTTGCGCTGCTCGCAGAAGAGTTCCCTGGCCGACTTAGGATGCTGCCCGAAGAGCAAATCCGTGAGCCGCCTCTGAGCTTTGGGGCATTTTGTCGGAGTAGTTTGTCTCTTGCTAGGCGTCCAGTTCTTCATCGGGCTGGTCAGCGGCCTCTTGGACGCCGGGCCGAGGACCTTGGTGGGCTCCTAGACCCGGAGAGAAACCACTTTCTTCATTCCTTTTATTTACTTATTACTACCGCGGACTAATCCATGTCAAAGCAGGAGTGTACATCGTAAAGAGACGCAAACAAAAAAGATTAAGAAAAGCGATTCAACAAGGCACGAAAATACAATATACAGTATAACATCGCTGCAGCAGATGTGGCAACGGCAAACATTCGGTTATACATAGCATATCGATTTGTGAAGTCCTGTTGGTCTTCTTATCTATGCCATTGAGCAAACTTTGCCTACTGTATATGGACCATATTAAGCAGACTCTTTAACAGCAAACATTATTTTGGAGATTAGGCGGGTTTGGTCCGATAGTGGTGGCGTCCATTTTGTGAACTGCTGTCATTGTGCCCGAAGCCTCGGAGCATCATGACCCAAGCACGCAGTGATGACGATCGTCAATACTGCCCAATAAAATGTTACTACCTTTTGAAGTTCAGACAAACTAGTTCTCTTCTAACATCCATTTACATTTCGTGGCTCTCACTGGTTAGAACAGACTCCAGTCATAATCCATATCAGTCTGCAATAAAAGTTTCTGCATTCTACATACTACTACTTTTAGAACAGACCAAAATCTTCATCACAATCAAGGTCTGTTATAATGAGATAAAACTGTACTATCACCTAGAAGAGATCAAGTTACCTAATTTAAAAAATTTTCACAAAGGCACAACTCTCAAGTTTGAAATTAATGTGTAGACTTTTGTACTGTCAACAGTGATTGTTGGCAAGTTAATCCAAGCAGTTGTTGTCCTGGGAAAATTTGCTTTTTAAATGTACAGTGGAACCCTGTTAATTTGAGCCCGATGGGGATCAAGTCTTTGTTTGAATAAAGCAAAGTTAGAAATACTGTGGGTTGTCTCCCAGAGAGACGCATAGGATGGGACCTACATGTTAGTTTGAATAAAGTTTGAGTTAACGAAATTCCACTGTATCATGATATGTGCGAAACTCCCGCACTGTTTCTCTGTCATTGAAATACGTGCTTGTTGACGACACTAAAGGTTATGCAAAGAGGGTGGTTTATTTGAATTGGATTGTTATTTATCATGTACAGAAAAATTTTAGCCTCTTTTCAGAGTGCTGAACGTGTCGTATGGCTGGGTCCTGGGGTCTGCTCTTGGTCAAGGCGAGAGCGAGAGTGTTTTCGGCCGCTGATTGGACACGGCACCATGGCTTGCATGCAATCAACCAACTAGATATTTTTGACCCAATTGCAAGTTCACGATCAAGAAATACTTTGATGAGAAAGTCTAACTAATATGCAAATAGCGAAAAAGGTCTTATGACCTTTAAAGTGCTTGTCGGTAGTACTCTTTCATCCTCCGATCGATGTCAGCTTTTGTACGGCGGCGGAACAAATTGAGATTTTTAAACAAGGCAGGAGTCGTCAATGGCTTTTGATGTGAAACGGCAGACGATCATACTCTGCCGCTGCACCCAATTTGCAGCAGACGATCAACAACATTTTTCTGGTATGTTAGCAGACGGCGTACGCTGATTTTTGGTTCTATTTCTGTCTGCAAATGGTGCTTTGTATCAGACAAACAACTTTCTTCACTTGCGTTAGCAGAAAAACCGTCTACTAATGTTATTTTCACTCACTCCGCAAGAGGCAAATTGGATCTTGCAGTGACCGAAACAGGATCCTGGCCGCTTCCGGTAACGGAAGAGTGCCACACTCACCTCAATGTGAGTCCCCTGGGAGCTTCGAAGCATGCCGAAAGACCACGGCAAGCTTCGTTTTGGAACGCTGGTGGTCCGAACGGGTTCCGCGGTGCCCACATCTTTCGGAGCTGGAGCTCGCGATTCGGGTTGGCCAAACTGGTAGGTTTGTCTCTCTGGTGGTATGCTGGCACCGGTGTTTGCGTTATTGTTGACCTCGAAAAATGCCGGCGTAGCTGCAATGCCGACGCTGTTGACGGCAGCCCCCCTATTTTCTTTGTTACTGCTCGACGAAGGTGAGACGTCGTCACACGATCCGCTCTCGATTTCTACGTCTTTGGTTCCGGAAACGGCGTCACTCTTGAATGCGTTCCTGAGGATGTTTCCTAAGGCTGCCAGGACTGCTTCCTAGAAGTAGAGAGGAAGAAAGATATAGTATTGCTTTTGGGTCTTTCTCAAGTAACAAAAAATTACACCATCTTCTTGAGGGGAACCATGGGGTGATGCGGAGCATCGTTCCATCACACTTCATCGGAAGAACGAAGTGAAGTGGAGTCAACAGCGGTGAACTGAACGCGCACAGAAATTGGTTTGCTCTTTATGTTTATACAGCCTTGATGGAGATGCGCCTCAACGGGTAATCGGTCTCTTAGCTGTAGATGAGAAATTTAGCCAGTGCAGTACAACCGCTAACCTGGGATTCTTAACGTGCATCATGCAGTAGTCATCAGACGAACGCGTGCCGGTACTAAACTCATCCAGATTGAAACGGGCGGGGGTGGCGGGGACTCGAACCCAGGAGGTTCCCAGCGCAAGCTTTCGCTCCACGCTCCGAGCTGGGACGCGTTAGTTCACTCGGCCACTTCCTCCCCTTGAACGCGCGCAGCGCGCTACCGCTGCTTATATTCAAACTTGAAGGAGAAGAAACTAGAGGAGGAGAGTTGCGCCTGCGCGCGCGGTGTGAGTAGAAGCGAACGCACGCGAAGTGCACGCAGCTGGTAGCTGCGTGCACTTCGCGAAGCTGTTGAAGAGAGAGAACGCACGCACAGCTGTTGGAGAGAGGGACGCAGCTGGTAGCTGCGTGCACTTCGCGCAGCTGTTGGAGAGAGAAAGAACGCACGTGCAGCGAGGAGAGTTGCGCATGCGTAGTGTGAGTGCGGACTACGACGCCGCGGGACATAGCCCGAGCAAGAGATGCTCCGCATCTAAAAGGGGCAATGCAACAGCTTTCGTACCTTCGGTAAATACTGCTTAGAATCATTCCTCGACATTTAGAGCCTGTAAAACATGCGTTAGTTCTTTCTTCCCACATGCAATGGCAGTTGTGAAAGAAATTCAAGAAAAACGAGCGGAGTTCATCCCGTCAACTCAATGCCAGGAGGCGATTATATGCCCCCAAAGTTTGACATGGCCACGCGCTGGGGTTGACGAAGCAAGGGGCATACGCCGAGTTCCTTGCATCATTAAGCTTTGGCTACTCCCGTTGTTGCAGCAATTGGGCATGATCCACTGCCAAAATGCAAGTCGAGGTGTTGATTGTCACGAGCACAAATCGAATGCTCACGCAATGGTCGTGTCCACCGTCAGAGTCGCATTTAAATATTGTCACTGCAGGAATCAATGGCGGTCTTTGAAGAGAGAACCCAAGGGGAAACCACGTGATCCCCCAGAGTACGTCACTTGAAAGGCGATGTTGAGAGTTGAGAGGCACCTTGACCTTCAATTTGTTTCATTTTTCTACATAAAAACTAGTGCTCGTAAGAAAATACGGTTTTCTGTTCTTTGATCCATGGGTGACAGATTAATTTCCGCAGTTAATTGGCCAAAGTCTGAAAATCGTTGCACCACCCCTTTAAATAAAAACCTACCTGAACTCGTGAGGTTATTCCCAAACTCCCACTTGCCCACTTCTAAAATAAGTTAATTTTAAGTTAGTACCTATATTTATAGGCTGTGAACTCAGAAAATTCAATGCCTAATTTGGGATGGCAAGTAAATGATGGCCTTAACATAAAAGTAAACTTATAAAGATGCCCCGCTATACCTAACTGAGGGAACTTATAAATTTTCTGGCTATAGTTTCTAGCCTGACGATAATTTTAAGTGTACTCTGTACGCCAAAAATTAATTAAACCTTTTTTTTTGTGGGGGAGAAGCACAGTTTTTCCCCGTACCAGCCATCCATAATCCGAACTGCGTAAGCAATGTAGGATCGTCTGCGGAAAGGTCGGCCAGAAAAACCTTTGTCCACAGGGTGGGACACGAGATGCCACACCCAGATGGTTTACTGCGAATCGCAGCTCACCTCTTTGGCAAACGCAACGGCCGTCTTGTCCGGCTCGAGGTTCACGTCGACGTCCGCCGGCGGAAGGTCGATGCGCACGACGCACACCGGATGCTTTGCTGATGTGTGCTGCGCACTGTCCACGGCCAGGGAGAACTCCCTCTGGAGGCACTGCGTGCACGGAGACCGCATCCGCCATTCAAAGGCACCGAAGCTACGTCTGTACCCCTCACTAATACCTACCCTAAAATGCCAGGGGAGCGCCAACCCCACTTTCCCTGAAAGCTGGATTCATCTAGACAAGGGCACTCGTCTGGTCAAATTGGGCACTTCACATGCAATTTGCTGCACAGTGCAATCCACTTATAACAATAACTAAATAACCCGAAAATTCAATTGTTATAACCGGTCATTGTTGTATCTGGACTAGAAGCTGAGCATTTTTAGTCTAGAAACTGTAGAAACTGATCGTCCGCTACTCCTAGCTATTGCCGTCCTGCATCTTGTAAGGCTTTTGGAAGACCGCCGGCTCTTTACGAACGATGACTGAAGGTCCGTTCGCGCGCTAGCAATTGCTCGCAACCTGGTTCTCACGATCTCTTATGACGACAGAAAGCACTGGCACGTTGGTGCCGTCTACGAGGTGACCCTGGAACTGCACTTCGCTAGAGTGAAGGCTTTGGGGTGTTTGCGTGACGAAATGCATGCACTACCTACGAGAAATGGACGTCTAATGTGTCATCGGAAGTTTTTCGAGCCAAAAAAGAAAGAATGATACACGAAGAATGTAGGAGACGTACGGAAACTGAGTGTGTTGCGCGGCTACCCGACATGTGGCACCGGCGCACTCTCCCGCTGTAAGAAATTGCGAGCGGTTTTAAGGTGCACTATCGTAATCAGTTGCAAGTATGCGAAACAGCTTACCCATCCAGAAAGGGGAGAGGAATCAGCTCTAACGGTTCTTTGATTCTAACAACTTGACATTCTAATGCTTAGTACGTCAACATGTTTATGTTGACATACTACTGTTGACATAGTAAGACATCATACTAAGCATGTTTATGAAAACATGCTTAGTACGAAGCATGGAGCTTCATCATATGCATGATCGCTCCCTCTCGCTACTCCTCCTCCCCTCCACTTGCATGCAGTATACAGGCACATAGTAACTCGAGTGCTTCTACAAGCAATTCAAGCAATACAAACAAGAGTCGTTTTACACCGATTCTTCTTTGGTGCATTCGTATCTTTACTATGGAATAATTTTCTACGGCATACCACATTTTTTTGGACTATAGTTCACTCCCTGCATATAATCTGCAAAAACAAATTTTGGCTGAAAAATTTTTTTTCTTTTTTCTCAGATAGTTTGCATTACATAATTTGCGCATAAAAAAATTCTGTTACGCGGCAAACATTAATAAAATGCCTCCTTTAAGGTGGGACTAGGGTACTTAAATATGTTTTTTTATTTATCGAGATACCTTGCTGAAAGTTGGCATGCATATGTATCACTGGATGGTGATTTCAAATCTGCAGTTGAATTTCAGATATCTCTTTTAGAACGAAAGATATGCAAAATATAAAATTCCAATAAGGTAATTTCTTACGGGTCGTTATGGTAATTTCACATCAAAACATTATATTTAAACAATATGCAGTGATTTCCAAGGGTTCACCATATATCCTAAAGCTAATTGAATGTTTATAAAGCCATTTTGTCTACCAGAAATAAATCATGGAATTTCAAAGCAAAAACTTGTCACTAGATAATCCACGTTTCAGCTAATTACTTTTGATCTATTGATTCTAGACGAAAAAGAAAAGCTTTAGGATACACCTCAGTTGTTACTGAAAACAATGATACCAAGCTTACTGAAATCCACCTATGCAAACATTATAAAAACTTCCGTAAGGCAACAGCTCTAGACAAAAAAGGACAAAGCTGAGAAAATCGCACTTGAAGTTTCTCCGATGTTGGCACTTTTACATATCAAGTCTAGAGAAAAAGAAAAGCTTTAGGGTGCAGTTCAGTTGTTGCTGAAAACAACAACACCAAATTTATTGCAATCGGCTTATGGAAACATAATCAAAACCTCCGTAAAAAATGGTACCTGACAAAAAAACAAACAAAAAAAACATGAAACCACAAAATCAGTTCAGTAGTATCCGATGTGCGCACACGGTCATAGCAGTCCTGGGCTGTAGTCCTGGGTCCTGGCAGGCTTGTGTCTCTTGGCCATCCTCTTCTTCACCTTTTCACTCTCAGAGTGAGCCTTGTTGGCCTTGCGAAGCCTCCGCCTGTCTTTCTCAAGACTCCTGCGAATCAGGCAGCTACCTGTGCTGTAGCCAAGCTGTGCTGCTACAGCCTTGCTCGTCTTTGCCATTCCCTGGTTGAAGCGTGACATGGCTTCAGCGACAGCCCTCTGCACTGACAGTAAAGAGTCATGTGTGTTCTTAGAGTTCTGGCCCCAAATCACAGAGTGTAGGCACTCTAAGCCGCTCTGCGTCATGCCATCACTGCAGCGCTTCAGGAGTGCCCGGTCGCCCAGCCTCTCAAAGACTGGCTCCAGCGCAGTGCGAATGAAGCCTGGCAGTGGGTTCTTGTGTGGTGGTGGCTCCTCGTGGTTGGCCAGTGCCCGGTGGTAGGAGCACCAGGAACTGTCCCCCTCGGGACAGTGGCTGTGGTCCGGAGCTTCATCTGTCGACGTCATGTGCAACAAAGTTGCTTGCACTGCCCTTTCCATCCCTGGCACATCATGCTTGTGGCTTCTCAAGGCGTACCCATAGTAGTTTGTTATTTTTTTTATCTTGTCCTGAGTCAGCTTTCCCTTTCCTCCGAGCGACTCTCCCTGTGCCTTCTTCTTCTCCACCAGGGTATGAAGAGCTGCTCCCATCCGCTTGTGTACAGGGTTCAGGCAGTCTTTTTTCTCAATGTCGAGGTATCCATAGACGCTGTCTTGTGTCAGGGCATGGAAGGTGCGGCTGTCACCATCGGAAAGGATGGTGGTGTAGCGCAGTCCATTCTTCGCCAGGGACCGCCTGAACAGAATGAGGGCTGCCTCGGCTTCCATTCGTCCTGCGTTGCAGTCTATGTTCTTCATACACTTGTGGTTGATCACCCAGTCCCCATAGCTGTCGTCATCTGGGTCAGGTGCACCCTGGCAGCCACGGCAGTACCTTGAGAGGACAACATGGTCCAGCACTAGGCCAGTGTACAGCTCGAGGATGCACCCCACTGCGACGTTAGAGTTGTGTCTGCGCGTCTTCAAAAATTATATCTACGTTTCCGGGAGGATTGAGGAAGCTCTCGTAGACGCCCTTCACCACCTCAACACTCGCTGCTTCTGTGGCTGTTGCTGCTGCCTGGCAAGCCTGCACCATGGTGTCCATCTGTCCCCTGAACGTCTTACGATGAAGCCCTCGGTGGGAGAGGTTCAAGGTTGCACAGAAGTCTGCAAGCGCAGTCGCCCCTTTTCCTATGCTCTGTATTCCCTTCATCGCCCTCAAGTTGATCTCGAAGGGCGTAATCTTGGCTTCCCCGGCGACTCGTGGAGAAGAAAATTGACTCTCAGCGAAATCGCAGCTCGAACACGTAAGGACCAACTTCACTGCCCGGCCGTATTGCCTCTCTTCGCGCTTCGAAAGTCCTACGGTAGCCATTCCGCACTTGCCGCATGCCGTGGACACAAAAGAGTTCTTGTAGCACTGTCATGTCCACGATGACGTACTCCGTGCCGCGGTCGGTGTCGTCACTCTCCATGCAGACGTCGAGGAGCTCAAACTTCCGTGAAGTCGCCGACTGATCTGCCAACGAAGCCTTTCTGTCGTCCGCACGTTGTTCGCGCTCCACGCACTCCTCCTCCGTGTAGAACACAGTGTCGATTCGATCCCTAGACGAACTTGGTCCAGCCACGTCCACGAGCGGAAAAGCGGCTTGAGGCATCGGCGAAGTTGTCGAACACAAACTCGGTCCAGTCGCGTCCACCAACGGTAGAGCGGCTTGCGCCATCGGCGAAGTCGAAGGTGTCGTTTTCCTCGATGCCGAGGTCTTCTTGTTCAAGGCACGTCTCCTCTTTGTGTTTAATCTTTGCGTGCTGGCCTTCAAACGGGCGTCCCCAGCCATCAGAACTCGAGGTGAACTCGAAGCGCGCAGACAGAACGAAACAAAGAACTACGACGCAGGAGGGCAAATATATACGAAAAGGGAAAGCTAAACAAAGTGGAGGTATCAAAATATTTACATGAACGATGCGAAGAAGACAGGGAACATACAAAAACACTGAAAATATTGATATAGAAAGTGGAGAAATGCGAAGGCAGCGTGCGTCTCGAACGGCGGAGCGAGCGAAAGCAGACGGCGCGGGAGCTTGCGGAGCGACCGGGACGACGCGCTGGGGAAGCCAGGAGAGGAGGCGCGCGTTTCGGCCAATGAGAGAGCTGCGCCTCGGAGAAGCGCGCGCTTTGCCCAATCAGCGTCTTTCCTAGCGCTGGTGACGGCCTTTTGTGCGGCATCGATGACGTCGTGGCCTTGAGCGGTACACCGCCTTGGAGCGCGGAAAAAATAAGCGCGGGAAACCAGCTTTCGAACAAGACCAAGATGGCTCCGATCGGACGAGCCGTTGCGGAGCTCCGACGGCTTGAAGTTTTAGAGTTTAGGCTTGAAGTCAGGTCTGTCAACGCTTACAAATTGTCATTAGTTTCATATTTAGAGATCGAATTGAGCATTTATATTTTGTGAGGACATACTCTGGACTATGTAGACCTCAAAATCGTGAACTTTGAAAAAAGAAATTTTTCGCGATTTTTTTATATTTTAAGACCCGCGTCCCCCCTTAATTGTACAGAAAAACCTTCTATCATACTGAAATTGCGCCAAACTTAATCAGTCGTTCACGAAACGCCAGCATGTCTCACCATAATGAATAATGCTGAAAAGAAAAAACCCCAAAAAACAACCCTGCACATTCCACACCCGTGTATAGTTCGTACCGTGTCAAATCTAAACTTTTTAACGAGCATAGTCCACGGGCTATAGACCTTTCCAGCGGCAGCCTCGAACGAAGCGATTTACAGCGCGCGTCCCTGGTTTTGAAAGTGTACGTCAGTGTTGCCCGACGGCGCTGAGCTGTGGAGTTTCTAGTCAGTGGGCTGTGGCAGCCTGCGTTGGCGGAATTCCGGACGCTGGTAGCGGCTGAATTGCCGCGTTTTCTTTTTTATTTTGTGTTCTGTGGCGAACATGATTTATAGAGGCATTTAAGAAAGCAGTGCTCTATTTTTGGGAACAAAAACAAAGAAATGAAAGTTGTTTTGGTGAGTCCGTGCACGACAGAACAAACGCAACTGGAATGTTTGTTTCATTTTATGTTCATCGTTTTACGGCACCATACACTCAGCCGTGTCAATCTATATAGGTCAAAATATTTGACCACACATGATATCCGAACTGCATGGATATTCCCCGCCCACAACATGAAATTCAATGAGTCTCATCAATCGAACAAGATATATTGTACGTACCCCACGGTGCCGCGTTATCCGAACAGGATTTGAGAAAGGTCTCAAATAACAGAGCATATCCAATATACAGTGTCGACGATGGTCACTTCACGACAATCGGACGGAATCCGGCGAGTTATGGGGAACATGCAGAAGAGAGGTGCTTTGTTCCACAGCTTCAAAGCAAATGACCCGACCCTATCAGCTATTTTTTGCGAAGAGCCGGAACACAGCCGGGTAGGCTTTTTGGAGATTATCTCAAAACGTCGAACTGCCTACGTCGCGGGCTGCTTGATGTTCGCTCTCTTCGTTCGTTTCCTGCGAAGGCCGAGCAGGCTACGAGCCCTGGTATTCTCTGGTTCTCACAGTGGAAGCTAACATACAAAGGGTAAGCATCCTAAACAGGCGAATAAAGTAAAAACTTCCAAGAAAAGCCGGCGAACTCCAAATGCAAAATGCACGCTGACTGGGTTTCCACAGCTCAGGCGGGAGCCAGACATTTCTGGCTGATAGGGGTCGCTCGATTCGCAAAATGGCGGTGGCCAGAGCGCTCTTTTTGAAAAGGTCTATAGTTCGGGAAATATGGTACTACTCATTTTTCGTTCGTATCTCCTACATTTGTATTTTTATTATGGTGTCAGTACCTCGAGTGGCTGTACCAGCATTATCAGGCTACAACCTTTTTTTTTTTTTTTACAGTAAAACGAAAGTTTTGGTAAGTGTGCAGTGCTCGTAGACGTGCAATACTGATTTAATCAGCTTTTTTTTTTTAAACTGACTTTACTATTGTTGAGAAGTTCTATAGACAGAAAGCAGACATAGCCATTCTTATTCCTTAACGAGGGCAATTAGTAATGTATGAGCAGGGTAAGCTTTTACAAAATTGCTTTTGGCAAAGCCCTGCTGGTGCCAATGCGACACGATTACGACCCTAACAACATACAAAAAGAAATAACGAATAAAAATAACCACAAAGAACCGACCTGCGATATCTTCTTCACGAAAACCGGACGCCCATTCACGAGGACAATGCTTTTGTCTGGGTCGCAAGCACACAGTCCCTTGGCCACACCCCTAGCCTCCACCTTCGGCAGGAAGCACTTTATCGTCATCTGTAAAAGGAAACAAGTCGGTTAAGAACTAACCAACGTAAAAATGCGGAGTGGCGTGATCTTAAACACCCTTGCTGTATGCCTAAGCACAAGGTGGCACCAACGGATCATACGCCGTAAAACTAGACGGAAAAGTGTACGCCTACACGTAGAAAGCTCAAACTTTCACCGAATGTGCTTTGAGGTGATGCAGCGTAGCCGATTAAATTTGAAGACATAGCTCTCTTTCTGCGAATATTAAGACCAAGAAACCTACCAGATTCAACGGCGGATGGGTTTGCAGACGACCAGGTCGGCGACGCTTGCGGTGCGTGGCGCCGTCTCCCGATGGGCGCAACAAATGGACGACGCAAGCTGTCGTCTGCTTGCCACGCTTGTCGGGAGATGGCGCCATGCGTTACAAGCATTGCTGATTTGGTCGGTCGCGAGCCCATCCGCTGCTGGCCCTGGCAAGTTTATTGATTGAATTTCTTGCAGAAAGGAAGCCACGCGCCTTGAAATTTGACCAGGTAATACAGTGAAACCCGTTTAGAACGAACCTATGTACAGCGAATTATTGTCAATATCAAACTCACGAAAAATTTAAATAAAAATACATGTAAAAAGTATTTTCTATATCGAACAACACATCGGCTATATCAAACTTTTTTCCCCCGGGAAGGCTTCCAAAATGCGCAAAAAATCGTCTTCTAGCCTGTCCCTTCCCCCAAAAAAGAAGTAGGAAAGAAAAAAAAACTCTGAAAGCACAAGTTGCGAACAAAATTGGGCGAAGAGAAGCAATTCAGAAAGGAAGAAAGTTAAAAAAAAACACTCTGCACGCACGCACAGAAAAAGAATTTCATCCCAAAGCGTTTGCCCACGATGAGAAGTGATGCAAAATGGCAGATAAATTAAAATAAAAACTCTGCACGCATGCAAAAAAAAAACATAGAGCGCGTTGTAAGGCGGGAGTGAAGAGATGAGAGAAAGAGAAGCTTTCGCCTTACAAGGAACTCATCGTGGAAGTTCGTTGTAAATGATTTTGCTATATCGAACTTCTTGCTATATCGAACTGATCGTAGCGTTTCCTGCAGTTCGTTATAAATGGGTTTGACTGTAGGCACCACCTCAAAGCACACTTACTGAAAGTTTGAACTTTCTATGAGCAGGCACTGATTTCTGCGGCTCATTTGATGGCGTAAGCTCTATGTTCATAGAGTAAAATCGCACTCGAGCAAATATTTCAGAATAACGAACTTGAAAAAAATCCCCGGCGGTTTTGCTATCCATTCTATGCAAAAATGTTTCAGTTAAACGAATTTCGAAATAGCAAATATTTCAGTTCAACAAACTTGATTGGTAAACCCAAAATTATTTTTGCAACCAGTTCAACAAAGTTTTGTGCTCTGCAGTGCTGGCATAGCCAATGCCCGCCGCCTCTGCAGCGGCGGCGTATTATCGCTGGCGTTTACAGCGTCGCCGAGGCAAAGCGGTGCTGCGGTAGACGAAAACAAACCATGTGGTGTGTCTGTTTTTCTTTGTCATCGCTTCCATTCGGCCATCTTAGTTTTGGGTAACAACGGCAGGACGGCAGTTTGTGCACCCACTTTCAGGGAACCCCGGAACTGGGGGAGGGGGAGGCAACGGCGGCTTGAGCACTCGCTGACATTTTCCGGGGGTGTTGGGCAGTATGCTGAACCCCCGTGCATTTGGCTTGTTAGGAGAGGCACGTAGTTGCATGCCTCGCCACAAGATGGCGCCACGGCGGCATCGCGAGGACGCCTTCCGCGGGACTCGGAGAGAGGGCGCGCGGGATGTGCGGCTGGGGGGGGGACATCGGGAGACGAAGGGGGAGCGGGACGATGAAGGACGGCGAGCGGTGCGCGCGGTGATGCCGCGAGTGCTTGGGAATAAAGGAGTTCCGGTTATGAGAGTCCCTTTGTTCTGAAACCGCAAGCGAGCTAACGTGGAAGCTCGCTGGGCCCTGACAAGTGGGGGCTCGTCCTCTGAACCCGAACTACCCTGCTAGACCAACGGCAAGTCCTGCGAGGCAGTTTTACATCCTCATCTCGCCAGCGCGCCGACATGAGCACGAACAACGTGGTCAGCGAACTGCTGGCCCAGACGGACGGCAGTGCCATGGACCGGGAGCGATTGTCTTCGTGTGTGCGTGACGTGCTCCTGAACACACCGTTACAACAGGACACCGAGGCGCGCACGCAGGAGCCGACGCCTTGGAAGTGCGGTAACATCCAGTTGCCGAAATTCATCGGCTATGAGGACAGGCAGAGCCCGATGGACTTCCTCGACAAGTTCGAGAATTTTTGCCTGGTTACGGGCGTTCCGGACAGCAAGCGCGTCCGGCAGATCCTCCCGGCCGCACTGGAGGGCACAGCGAAGCTTTGGTGGCGCTTTGCGGGAGGCTTTGAAGACTGGGAGACTTTCGTAAAGGAGTTCCACGCCGAGTTTGCGTCTGTCGATTACAAGCATCGGCTGAAGGAAGAACTCGACCGACGCACACAGCACCCGCAGGAAAACTTGCGCCACTTCATCCACGTCATTGCCGAATTCTACGACAGGATCGGCGAGACGGTGTCCGACGAAGAGAAGGTGAGACGTGTCAGGCGTCAGATGCACCGAAAATTTCAAGACTTGTGCGAAGGGCTCACGTTCGCGAATCTGCGCGAGTTTGCGAGGGAAGCCGGCGGCGTCATGGAGCGTGCATGGCACCGCCTCAAGTACGTTCCGCCGCCGCCAAGAACGGACCAAGTTGCCAAGGACCTCGCTTTTGCGGAGCTGCACCCCGCAGTGCCCAACCAGTGCCCTCCATCCACGCTCGCTGCCGTGAGTGCTGGGGTGGCCCCTCAGCCATGGTGGCCCCTGCATCCAGCAGCAGTGCAGTCATCCTACTGCAAGGACCAGATGTGGGTTCCAACCACAATGCCCTGCCAGCCAGCACCGCAACTGCCACCACAATGGGCAGTGCAGCAGCCCCAAACTTTGGCTACCTCATTTCAACCTATGCCGCAGCCAACACCACAGTGGGCAACACCGCAGTGTCCAACCTGGGCACCAGCTGTGCCACAACAGGGTCAACAGTGGCTTCAGACTGCACAGCAGGCCCTAAACCTGCAGCCTGCCTCCAACAGAGGACAAGTGTGTCAACGCTGTGGTGGGGTTGGACACTCTGCCCGATACTGCGCAACTGGCAGACAACGCAACCAGCAACGCTGCTACAGGTGCAACGAACGTGGACATCTGCAGGCTAACTGCCCGGGAAACGGGCGAGCGTAGAGGCTGACCCGGCCAGCATCTACGAGACTGCCTTGCAAGTTGCAGCAACAGCCGGAGGGAGGGAGCCCTTGCTCGAGCTCACCGTGGGTAACCAGGTATTCCTTGCCTTGTTGGACACTGGGTCCAGTGTTAGTTTAATGGGGGACCCAGCTGTGGTGGCTGCTCAGGCTACTGGTGCAGGACTCAAGCGGGAGACCCATTCCCTCAGGTTGGCAACAGGATGGTCAACCACAACTCAGTCCATCAGATGCCATATCCGTTGGTCGGGTAGATGCCGCAAACAATGATTCATCCACATGCCAGGACTGTGCCGTGACATTATCTTGGGCAGAGACTTCTTGATCGCAGCGGGTCTATCAATACATGTGGCCCTCGGAGGTTGGACCTTGGGGACGGAGATTCAGGAGCTGGTCCGCTTTGGCAAATCCTCGGAAGTTCCACCTGTGGCCCTGTCCGAGGAAGTGTACTCACTGGAGGAGCTGTTTGCAGCGCCGAGAGAGGTTGAGACCTGCCCGGAAGAAGCCATAGTCAAGGGGACTCCGGGAAAAAAGGCAGAAGGCGACCCGCGGATAGTGACAGTGCTCAATGACTACAAAGACACTTTCACAGTACGACCTGGACGCACCTCGCTAATCCAACACAGCATCGACACTGGTGATAGCCGACCCGTCCGTTGCAAGATGCGACCAGTAAATGCAGAGAAACGAGCCATAATAGATGAATGCATCAGGGATCTTCTAGATCAGGACTTAATTGAGCCAAGCACAAGCTCCTGGGCCAGCGCCCCTGTCCTGGTGGCCAAGAAAACTGGCGGCTACCGACTCGCAGTGGATTATAGACCACTCAACGCAAGGACTGATGTCCCAGTGCATCCGATGCCCCGAACGGACTGGATCCTTGCGCAACTTGGCAAAGCAAGGTGGTTTAGTAGCCTTGACCTGTCCCAAGGCTTCTTCCAAATTCCAGTGGCAACACGGGACATTCCGAAGACTGCGTTTCTGTGTCACCAGGGAACGTTCCAGTTCAAACGCATGCCATTTGGCGTAGCCGGAGGCCCAGCCACATTTCAGGCCTTAATGGACAAAGTGCTTGATGGAGTGAAACACAGGTACTGCATGGCGTTCCTAGACGATGTCTTGGTCTTTTCAGAGTCGTTTGAAGACCATGTAGTGCACTTACGGGATGTACTACACAGGATTGCAGAAGCGGGACTCACCATCAACCCCAGCAAAGTGCAACTCTGCAAGCAGTCACTTAAATTCCTAGGCCATGTCATCTCTCCGGGTAAATGCCAGCCGGATCCAGAAAAGGTTCGAGCAGTTGAAGAGTACCCCACCCCAACATCAGTCAAACAGTTGCAGGCGTTCTTGGGACTGGTGGGATACTACCGCACATTCGTTCCACGATTTTCCGACATCGCAAAACCTCTCACGACGCTGCTCAAGAAGAATGCACCTTGGAGGTGGGAGCAGCCACAGCAGGAAGCTTTCAAATCCTTAAAGTCTTGGCTTACAGAGGAGGCAGTGGTGGCCTTGCCCGCAGTGGCATTGGCATCGCTGCAGTCCTGCTGCAGGAGAATGATGGACATTTCAGGCCAGTGTCCTTTATAAGCCGAACGTTGACAGAAGCAGAGAGAAACTACACCGTACAGGAGTGGGAATGTCTGGCAGTTGTATGGGCACTGGACAAGTTTCGCCCATACATAGAGTTTGCCCACTTTGAAGTAC